TGTTTTATTTAGAGCCAAGGTCTACTAAGTGGCTTAGCCTCATTAAATTTCGGAGGCTGGCACTGAACTTTCAGTCCTACCTCAGCCTCCTAAGCCCTTGGGATTACAGGCATGCCCTGCCACTCTCAGCTAGCTATAGTTTTTATGTGGTTGAGATTTTTTAATATTTTTTTTTTAGTATTTGGCGGACACAACATCTTTGTTTGTATGTGGCGCTGAGGATCGAACCCGGGCCGCACGCATGCCAGGCGAGAACGCTACCGCTTGAGCCACATCCCCAGCCTGACACAATACCTTTCTAAAAAAATATTTATTTATTTAGTCAGTCTTAGGTGGATACAATATCTTTATTTTATTTTTATGTGGTGCTGAGGATCGAACCTAGTACCTCACACATGCTAGAGGCAAGCACTCTACCACATGAGCCACAATACCTTTATTTTTTAATGTTATTTTTTAATAAGTTGGGATAATTATTTTTATATTTTAGTTGTAGATGGACACAATACCTTTATTTATTTTATTTATTTATGTGGTGCTGAGAATCAAACCTAGTGCCTCATACGTGCTAGGCAAGCACCTTACTACTTACAGCCCCAGTCCCTGTTCTAAGATTTTTTTTTTTTTTTTCCGTTTGTAGATGGATACAATGCCTTTATTTTATTTTTATGTGGTGCTGAGGCTCAAACCCAGTGCCTTCCACATTCAGGGAAAGCACTCTACCACTGAGCTACAAGCCCAGCCTCCTGTTCTAAGATTTTTAATGTTTTGATGATTACATTTAAATATTTAGAATTAAGTATATAGCACAATATGAGATAGGGTTTCAACTATTTTAAAATTTATAATTTTTAAATTTTAGGACTAGAAATTTTTTATTTTATAAAAATCTAACTATGTAATCCAAATCAACTACCCTGTAAATATCCACTAGACATTTTTGAGCAGAATCAAATGATAAACTATGGAATTGTTATCCCTGCTTGTCAGGAGCTGCCTTGGATGAACACGCCTTCAAGTCCTGATGCCCTGGGGCTCTGACCAATTACTACATTTTATAATGACTTGGGTATTATCCCAGCTCAGATAGCAAGGTGTGGCTCCAGATATAGGCATCACCTGTGGTGGTTGAATTACACTCACCTGTTCCTTTGTAATCCTACCCTTTTGCCCTTTTGGAGATAGAATGTTCCATGGAACCTCCCTTTGTGTGTTCCTTATTTAAGAATAAAGAATTTTGGTGGCTCTCTCTCTTTCCACGGACTCTTAAGGACACGGAGCTGTCTCAGGAATATTGAAAAGGTAACTCTCTGTGGTTGCATGCTTTCTTTGTCATTTTTTTTGAGTTATTGGAATAGTCAGATTTTGTGAACCCAGCATTGGGTTGCCAGCTAGGATAGACGGTGACACCTGCTATTGTATAATGGTATACTGAACAAGGCAGGCAGTGTGACAGTTGCTAATCAATAGGACTCTGTATACCAGCAAAACTCATGGAGAGGCCAATAAAATCTGAAACATATTCTCAGAATATAAGCAGGCTGGGGTTGTGGCTCAGTGGTAGAGTGCTTACCTTGCACGCGTGAGGCACTAGGTTCGATCTTCAGCACCACATAAAATAAATAAACAAAAGGTATTGTGTTCATCTACAACTAAAAAAAGAATATAAGCAAAACCAACCCATAGGGGGAAAAGTAGCCCTTTTGTAAACAAAATAATCATTCCTGATTAATCTTTTAAAATTCTTCATAAGAATTGTATTAGTTTGCTAGGGCTGCCTTAACAAAGTTCTATCTACAGGATGGCTTAAACAACAAAAATTTATTTTCTCATAATTCCGGAAGCTATAAATCTGAGATCAAGGTGCCAACAGGGTTGGGAGGCTTCTCTCATTGGTTTACACATAGCCATCTTCTTCCTGTCTTCAAATGGTCTTCCTTTTATGTCCAAATCTGTTCTTGATTACCTCTTTAAAGACTAATTTTTAAATAAAATCACTTTATGAGGTACTGGAGGTTAGGACTTCAACATAACAATTTTGGTGAGGACACAATTCAGCCCATAACAGGAATTAATAATGTAGTTTTGTTGTTGTTGTTGTTTTTGGTACTGGGGATTTAACCCAAGGGCACTTCACCACTGAGCTACATCCCCAGTTCTTTTTATTTTTTGAGTTGCTGAGGGCCTTGCTAATTTGCCGAGGTGGCCTCAAACTTGAGGGCCTCAGCTTCCCATGTAGCTGGGATACAGGCCATGTGCCAACATGCCCAGCTCATTGGTTACTTCTTTTAAGTAGAATTTTCAAAGTTTTTTTTTTTTTTTTTTTTGTCAAGAGCTTTAAAAAAAAAATATGAGTCAGGTGCAGTGGCACATACCTATAACCCAGCTACTTAGGAGGCTGAGGCAGGAGCATTGCAAGTTCGAGGTCAGCCAGTTTTTTCAGCTTTTCACTTAATTTTTTTTCTTTTACCTTCTCCACTATACCCTGAAAATCACTGCTGAAGTATACCACTGAAGAGTATGTTGAAAATGTCCTCATTTGGAAGTCCAGTGTGCTATTCACTGCACCATGTAGCCACCTAAAAAAATGTCCTTATTTGGTAAGAAATAATTCAAACTACACTTACATGATGATGATCTCTAAGCTATCTAATTTGACCTAGGAAAAGGATTCTAGTGACACTACGTTAAACATTTCCTAAGGATCTTAACACATTGTGCTGCTGTGACCAGAAATGCCACATAATGGTAGATAACCTAACATTAACACTGAACCAGAAATATAGTATCATAAAATTTCTCTATCTACCTTTCAAAAAGCATCACTGAAATCTGAATCCCACCCCTCCACAATTAAGAACCAGTGGTTAGGGCTGGGGATGCAGCTCAGTGGTAGAGTGCTTGCTGAGTATACCCCAGACCCTTAGGTTAGAGTAAGAAACCTCCCTGGCACACCACCCCCCCCCCGCAAAAAATAATAATAGATAAATAAAGAACCAGTGATTATTTTATTTATCAGGAAACTATGCTCCAGAAGGGTTGAAATGACTTATTTAAAAACAATGAGATAGCTGGGCACCATGGCACATGCCCGTAATCCCAGTGGCTCAGAAGGCTAAGACAAGAGGATCTCGAGTTCAAAGACAGCTTCAGCAAAAAAACCGAGGCACTAAGGAACTGAGTGAGACCCTGTCTCTCAGTAAAATACAAAATAGGGCTGGGGATATGGCTCAGTGGTCAGGTGCCTCTGAGTTCAATCTCCAGTACCCCCACCCCCCAAAAAAGACAGAGACAGATAAATCTAGGCATCAGATATAAATTCTAAGCTAATGCTCTTAACTGCTATTTTAGAAACCATTAATTCCCATTTTTTTTATGTTTAGGGATTTTATCCAATATATAATTCTGTTCATTACAATTTTTTTTTGGTTGTTGATGGACCTTTATTTTATTCCTTATTTATATGCAATGCTGAGAATTGAACACAGTGTCTCACACATGTGAGGCAAGTGCTCTACCACTGAGCCACATCCCTAGCCCTCATCACAACTTTTTAAAAGTAATAAAACTATAAAAATGAGATAAAAGGATAAAGGATACATTCTTTTATTTATTTATATCCCAATCTTATTCCAAAAAAGGCTTACAAAAATGTAGATAATACAGTAATTTTTAAAAAGATTAGAATAGAAAACTGAGAATAAGGAAAATAAAAGCAAGTTGGAACCAAGAATGTGACTAACATGCAAAATACATAAATGGTTGCTGAAGGTGGGGCACAATTTGGGCTTTAAGTAGTCTAGTATTGCATGAGAAGAAAAAGATAGTCAGTTGAATATTTACTATCTTTAAGGTAAAAACCAAACAGCAATTCAGGAAAAGCACAACTAGACACAGAGAAAATTTATGAACTGTAATGATTAACACCTTTTTACAGACTCAAGTTTTATAGAGATTCATATGGACTGCTGAAGTACAATCCAGAAAAAGCAATTCTGCAGAGACTAACAAAATGCCAATTATATACAGGCAAAATCTGGCTTAATACAGAGACAGAAATAGTAAGCACAAATATACAGGATACTCTCAGACTCTTTGGATTGGAAAAGAGAGAATAGATATAATTGAAGATATAACGTGGTCTATATAAAAGCAAATTTGGGGGGGGGGGGGGTGGTAATTCCAAGGATTGAACACAAGGGTGCTCCACCACTGAGCTATATTCCTAGCCCTTTTATATGTTATTTAGAGATAGTGAGGCACCAAGAATTCAGCAAGACCCTAAGTTGCTAAGGCTGGTTTTGAATTCATAATCCTCCTGCCTCAGCCTCCAGAGCTGCTGGGATTATAGATGTGCACCATCATGCCCAGCTAAAAGCAAATTTTCCCCTCAAATATCAGAATTAAAATGAAGCTTCTGAGAAGTTAGTTTAGGAAAATGAAAAAAGAAAGTCATAAAAGAATTGTAGGGCTGGGGATATAGCTCAATTGGTAAAGTGCTTGCCTTGCATACACAAGGCCCTGGGTTCAATCCTCAGCACCAAAAAAAAAAAAAAAAAAAATTAGAATTGTATGTAAATTCAAGGACCAGGTGATTTTTCTTACAAAAGGAAAAGGTTCTTGAGATACATCTCTAACCTTAAATCTTAAGGTTGATGTATGCCTTTGAATCCCTTGATTTGCCGATAAAAAACTGCATTTTGAGCTGTCTAGGAGAAATGTTCAGCTCACTACTTCTTTTCGTCTTTTGGAAAATATTTTGGTAGCTATTCCAGTTACCCCTAGAGAAGACATTTAATCCCCCATGTTTTAGTTTCTATTTTCTTTTTCACTTTAGGCTATTGCATTCATTCCCCCCACCTTTTTTTGGTATTAATTATTGAACCTAGGGGTGCTTTACCACTGAGCTATAACCCCAGCCCTTTTTATTTCTTATTTTGAGACATGGTCTTGCTAAGTTGCTGAGGTTCACCTTGAACTTATGATCCTCCTGCCTCAGCTTCCCAAGTTTCTGTGATTACAGGCATGCACCACCATACCTAGCTCATTTTCCAATTTTTAAAAATTAGATTTACTGACAACTGACCTTTAGCCCCAGTTTTTTGTTTTAGTTCCCACTAACCCCAGTATTGTGGGTTGAACTCAAGAACATTCTACTACATCCCCAGCCTTTTTTTTTTTCCATTTTGAGACATTAAGTTGCCAAGTCTGGTCTCAAACTTTTCCTGCCTTATCCTCCCAAGTAGCTAGAATTACAGACATGCATCACTATGCCCAACTCCCAGACTCTATTTTTTAGCTGCATATTTAGGTGTTAAGATGCCAACTTTTTAAGCCTTTGAAAAACATATTTCTTCTGACTAGCCTATTAAACATATAAATAGCACCTTTGGAGTCCATGAAGTGTTGTTATTACCCAAGAAAGGAAACATGGCAAAGAAACAAGGAAAGAGAAAGGTAGAGGAAGCCTTTTGCTACAGACTGGAGAAGTGAAACAAAGGAAAAAGTTACCACTCTGACCTGAGATGTTATATGAACCGGTAAGTTGTATGATGGGGAACTGAGTGCCCAAAATTTGAACTCTAGACTAATGCCTAGAAGAATAGAATAGTAAGGGGCTACAAAGTCAAAACTGGATCATCAAAGTGGTAATACTGAGTTGGTAGTGGAAGAGATCCTCGGGTTCCCAGCTGGGCCCCAATCTATAGTAGACAGGGTCAAGCAGGGACAGAGTGGACCAGGAAGGACTCCAGATCACAGTCAAAGTCCTTGAAGGGTTTGGACTCCAATGGACTGGGCTGAGTATCTTGTGTCTTCATGACAAAGTCCACTGGCTGCTTCTGTAGGAGCTCTGGGTCAAAGGTCACACCCCTAAAGAAGGGGTGGACCTGGAAGTGATGTAGATAACGTAGACGGTGGAGGGGGTTCTGGCATAGGAGCTGAAGGGAAATAGAGTATGAAGGATGAGGAATTGGGACAGGAAAGAGACTAAACAAAGATCATGAAAAGGGAGAATGAAGTTCATGGAGCTGTGGAGAACAGGGAAAAGAACTCTATAAAGAGTAAAAGATTTGTAAAAGGGGGAGAAACAGGCTAATTTGAGGCAAAGGTAGAAATAAAGGAGCTAGGATGTGTGAATTTTCAGATGGGAAGAGTGCAGCACTGGTCAAGACTCTGAAAGGATCTGTTCTGGATGGTGAGGTGATTTAGAGGACCAGGAACTCAGGAATGTATGGTTAGAGGGCAGATAATTAGATTAAGTTGAAGTAATCCCCCAAAACCCCCAAAAAATATTAATCAGAGAAATGGGAAATATCACCTTAATGATAGGGCATTGAATGGTTTAACAGTCAATAAGGAAAGCAATGCTAAACCTTACCTCACGAAGCAGGAGAGAGAGCTCCTGGTTAAGAGAAGCTGGAATTTCAGAGTCACAGTGGGTCACACTTGCCAACATGGCCACATGATCTTTCTCTGCAGCCACTGGGAACTGAGTGAAGAGGTGGAGGAGGGAATGAGACATGATTTCCTAAGGTCTTCCTTCTTCCCACCACAGGGCAAAGTTCTCTTCTCTGCCCAATACCACTACCAATCTCTCACCTTTCCAGTTGCCAGAGAGAAAAGCAAGACACCCAGGGACCACCAATCAGCAGCATGGTTGTAAGGCCCACCACTCAGGACCTCTGGGGCTATGGATTTGAAAGATACCCATCATGACATCCTTTGGCTATATACCAGTCCAGTATTTACCCACCAGCTTTAGCCTCTCTCACCCATGTATTGAAGAGTGCCACAGATAGTATAGGCTCGGGCTCCCTGGGGCAGGTGGCGGGACAGACCAAAGTCTGTCAGTTTCAGATGGCCTATGAAAGAACATAAGGCAACCCAACAGCACTCTGTTCCACCCCTGATCAGCCATGATAAGGGTATCTCTCATCTTGGGGCTAGGGAAGAAAAGACTTACCTCTTTCATCCAGAAGGATATTCTCCATCTGAAAGATCACAGAGGAGAAGTTATTATTATTCCTCTTCAACTCTTTTATCATGTATACCCTTCAAAATGAAGAAGGTGCCCTTACTCAGCATTCAAAGCTATATTTGGGAGAGCCATCACACAAATCCTTGGCACCCACTGGGGCCCCATGATCAAATGTTCTCAGCTCTCCAACTGCTTTCTCCTCAGACCTGTTGGAACTTCTTATTGAACCCCCACATCAGTAAGTGAAAAAACACTTAACTCTACCTTCACGTCTCGATGGATGATGCCCACGTCATGGAGATAGCCTGTGGATGACAGTAAACATGGTGTGTACTGAAGTTCTCCTGTTCTTTCCAGTTTCCCTGGTAACCCCTACCTTATCTTTCTCCTTATTCTTTAGCTTCCAGAGTTAATATCAATTCTCTCCTCCCCATCAACTTAATTATTCCCTTCCCATTTCCCTTTCTTACTTACACAGCACAAGGACCAGCTCAGCCGCAAAGAGACGGACGGAAGCCTCAGGAAAGCAGCCAACAGCAGACCACAGGGAGTACAGATCAGTGCTGCAGTAGCTACACACTGCAAAGCACGAGAAATCTAGGCAATGTTTGGGGGATTACAACGCCAGGGCTCAAGGCATTATAGGCCTCCTATCCAAACTGATATCACCTGCTATTCCCTCTCCCTTTGGAATAGAGAAGTGCTATGAGAAGGGGAAGACAGCAAAGGCAAAATAAGCCTAAAGAGATAGATAACAATGGTAGGTGGACCCTAGGGGATGAGGAAAGAGGCCAGTCACTCACTGATGAAGAGATGCCGTTTTCCCTGCCAGCTGTCCCCCAAGCTGTGTACAAAAGGGTGGTTGATCTGTCTCTAGGGACAAAGAAATCAGGAAGTTAGGAAAAGAACAGTGTCACTGAAGAGAGAGTCAGCCAAGAAATCAGGTTGTGCAGAAATTGAGCAGCTACTTCAACTCTGCATTCAGAGGAACTCAGTAATTAGGACTACCTGGTAATCTTGGAACCAGCATAACACTAAAGAACACACTAGGACATACTGGAGAGATTTCCCTCACAGAACCTAGAATAACTGTGTTAATAGGTATTGGCTACTTTTTTTAGGATCTACTTTGGTGTTAAGGTTAAAGCAGATGGGGAGAACAGAACCAGAAAAATTAGAAAAGCTGGTCAAGAATGATGCTTTCCTGTGGTTCTTCCCATCATCCTTCCAGGACTCTGTGCATACCTGGATGCTGACCTCCTCTTTGCACTGCCTCAGGGTGTCCCTCTGTAGGACTTTTACCTTGGGTACCACCTATAAAAGGAAAGAGTGATGACTTATAGAGAATCACGCAATTGAATTGTTTTTTCCTCTGAAACTCTCAGGAACAAAGATGGGAAGCAGGAACTAGAGAGTAATGTGAAGGAGTACCCAGGCCCCTACCTTCACTGCAAATACAGCTTTCTGGGCACAATCTAGCACCTTCAGGACAGTTCCAAAAGAGCCTTTAGCCACAAGACCTAAAATCTATATAGAGAAAGAGAATAGAAAGATGGTTTATAGATTTCCCCCAAAGAGACCCACTCCCAGGGATTCAGATGTCTTACCTTCAACTGCTGCTGCCCCCTAATGGGCCTCATGGGAAACTCTGGTAGAAAGAGGCTGATGAACTGAGGCACTGGCCACTCAGACAAAGGCTTCTCTACCAGCAGTGGGGTCGCCTCTAGGGGCTCCTGGTGTAGGCATTGATGCCCTTGTAGTTGCCATAGTTCTTCCAGACCTGACCTGATGGTCCCCATACCTGACCAGAGGCTCTTCCAGCCTCGGACCCAGGGGCCTTGGATGTTGTCACCCTGCTGAGAAGCAAGGGAGCCACTCTAAACCTGGCCCTGAAGTATTACAGTTTCTGCACATCTTAGTAGGCACTCCCCTCAAGTCTCAATCACTAGAGGTACATTTTTGAATACCAATCAAAATTCCTATTACCCTTGCTTTGTGAGAAGATCTGGATTTCCTGGACATAATTCAAATCCTCTAGTAAAGCAACTGTTGGAATTTTTTTTCATGATGCACCAGGAAAACAACCTGTGCCTCAGAACAGGGCTGCAATGCTTTCACATCACAGTCTCCCTGTCCCACCCCCACAATGGGTATCACTGACATGCTAGTAACTAGGCACTTCCTGGGCCTCAGGAGGCCCATGCCTCCTTCACTTTCAACAGGCTGCCAGAGCCCCCACAGCCTACCTTGTGAGGTGCAGTCACCTGGGTGTGTTGCCCCTGCCGACAGCTCACCGCTCCCATTCCCAGCCTTTGCCTCCTCTCTCCTTCCACTAAATCTGTTGTCCCAGTTATATAAGCAATCCCTCCACTGGATGCTGAATTAAACAGGAGCCCCGCCTGTTCTAATGTGCACAGACCCATCAGCTTTGGACCAATGTCATACGAGGACTGGCAAGTATCTGTGATAGAACCTTCAGGCACAGAAGAAAAGAGGCCACCCTCAGAGTGGCAGCTATAGGATGTTTCAGGTAGGTGGGGAGAAAAGGATACAGACAGTTTGAACACATGCACTTAACACAAAAAATAAACCAAAAAAACAGCATCAAATTTAAAATATTTTTTTTTCTCCTTAGGTCATTTTTTTGCCATTCTCCAGGGCATAATCCGGGGGAAGAGTAGGGAACCCATGGCCAGCCCTAGCTCCTATTGCCATCCTCCCAAGTGAGCACACAGATTGGGGAGAAGCTGATTCTCCCCTAGAACACTAATACCTTTTTCATACAAGGCAGTAGAGGAGGGACAGAGGATCAGCCCCTTCCCCTTGGCTTCCGGGCACAGAGGGAAAGCAGTTATGCTTAGAAATATATTTATATGTGTGTGTGTGTATATATATATATTTATATATATATATGTCTATAAAAATTTATCATACTTGATCAGGACTCTTCCCCCACCCTTCCACTTGACCCCAAGGAAACAGGATCCCAGCCATGGGTCCATTCCCTGGGGTCTTGCTCTCTTCTTGCCTCTTTGGCCCTGGGCCTAATCAGCATGAGATGAACTCAGTATTATTGTCCACCATGCCCTGCGGGGAACAGGCCAGCTGCTAAAGAGCTATGCCTCCCTCCATAGTACTCTGTGGGCTCTAAACCCCCACAAATCCTGGTGGATAAGGGGAAGCCCCTCCCATCCCACAAGTCCCTGGGCCTGAGCCAGAGTCAGATCATGTACTGCAGCCACTTGAATTGCCAGATCACTTGCGCCTGCCAAAGATGGACTTCTTGCCAGGGTTCTTGTCACCCACACTTAAACCGATGAGGAGCCGAGCTTTCTCCTCCTCTTCCTGCTGTTTCATATTCAGGTCTGATTTAGTTTCTAGCTTCCCTCGGACCTCAGACCCTGTTGCAGGCTTCAGCCTTAATTTTTCTTTGATTACCTGGCAGGTTGGAGAGGAGTAAAAGGAAAGGTAAATATTAGTGGGGCAAGCAGAGTAAATCAAAGTGAACCAAGTCAACCAAGATTTATTAAACATATATACAAATCACAAGAGAGCAGCTCAAATTATAAAATGGTCTCTGCTTTCAAGAAGCTCACAGTCTAATTAGAACCCATTCTAAACTTAAGGTTGTAGCAGCCCTTAGTTCCCTAAAATTAATAGTTGTCAACATTACACAAAGCAGTAAACATTTAATTTAATCATTTGGGCAAAGTTGTGGCGAGGACAAAAGAGAAGAAGGCTCTCACTTCAGTCACCTGCCCATTCTCAAAACAACTATTAAATATATCCTAAAAAAGGTTCCTGAGCAGGGGATCTACTTGCCAGCCCCTGTTAACCAAACAGCCATGAGCCCTGGCGGGATACCTGGGCAACCAGGGCTTTGCGGCTATCCCTTTTGACTGCCATGGCAAAGTCTAGCCATGTCCATGTGTTGTTGTGGTACTCCAGACAAGGCAGCACCAGATTAAGGTCACCCCAGTCCACACTGTTCTTTTCACCCTGCAAGAGAAGGGGGAGAGAAGAGGGGGAAAAAGTACATAAGCACTACTCTGAATCTATGCCAATACTTGAGTGTAAATCAGTCCTGCAACATCAACCTACAGATACTGATTTCTCCTTACCTCAGTCTAGTAAGATGCTAACCCCTGCAGGAAGCAGAAGGAACAGCAGATTTATCACCCAGTTTGTCTATAATCTCTGATTATAATCCCTGATGATCTTTACTGGTACCCTTTCCATTCTGTTCTAAATTCCCTGTTCCTAAAAAGGGCTGAGGAGGTACAGACCTTATAGCTGACACACAGTGGAACCTGTGGAATCTTTATGTAGATGAAGGAGTTGTTCATGGCAGCTCGCTCTTTCATCTTGTCAATGTCATCCACAGGATGCTGGGAAAAGCACAAGAATATCATGAGCCTCTGGAAATATCAGAAGAAATGCAGGACTCTAAATATCACCCCTTCCTCTCAATCCTGGAGTAGACTCAAAGAAAACAAGAGAAATCCCCAGCCAGGACCAATAGATTCTCCCACTTTTCTATTATCAGGGGTATATGTAGTACCTCAGGTGATTTGCGAAATGACCTTCTGACCCCAGAACTTCGAGTCAAGCCCTGTGCCACACCCTTCCCAGGGCCCAGAGGTACGGAATCATCTGTTGCAATTAGCTGCCGAGGCTTTACCACTGGTATTCCTATGAAAAAGCAAGCACAGCAACTACCATCCCCCTTCTGAAGCAATCTGCTATCTCTGTGGCTGCCACCCCATTCTTCTGGTCCTCCACCATAAAAGTTCTTACCAGTAGTCACCAGTTTGGACTTATCCTCTTCATCACCAACTTCATCATCTTCCACAGTTCGTCCAGGAAAAAAAAAGCCCATCATTCTATGAAAGAACTGGTGTGTCAGCTGGATGGTTAGAGGCACCACATTTACCTAAAGGGAAAAAAAGTTGAAGAAATTAAGCTCAGACACTATCCCTCAGTTTCCTACCCCTAATTAGCATAGTATAACACACAGATATCTTTGGATTGCCCTTTGTTTCTGGGCTCCCAAGGGACTGTACACTAACCTCAAAGTGTTCTTTAACAGAGATACCCCCCACAGGAGGCCGGACTTTGCTGAAGAGGCGGAGGGCTAACTGTCGCCCAGACTGGCAGGAACTCTGGGGCCGTAGGACTACCTGTAGGGCAGAGTAAACAACAGCCCAATCAAATGTCCTCATTGCCACAAATCAACCCACAAATGCTCCATACAGAGAAGCAAGATTCTAAACTGAGCAAGATTTTACCATCTCAGATCCACATTGTTTCTTTTAATGGGTTTACACAGAAAAGCCATTATAAATGCCCTGTGCTTTTAAAAAAGCATATGAACCAGTGAGGAGGAAATAAGACTTGCTATACAGGTTTGAAGGTGTAGCTCAGTGGTAAGAGTATTTGTATTGCATATGTAAGGCCCTGGGTTTGATCCCCAGTATCACAATAAGAGAAAGGAAAAAAAAAAAAAAACTTGCCTTATAGACAGCATTGGGGAGAAGGTTGTTCATAGTGAACCAGCCCAGCTCCAAAAGATGTTCTGCTGTGTCATCAGACTTATTCACCTATAAAGACAGATTTTTGCCCCAGTCCACTATAGTTAACCTTAGGAGCTTGCTAGAGAACTGCTAAATACCCTGTTTGTTTTCAGATCCTCCATGTGCCTAGTCCCAATCTTTGATCTCTCTTTAAATGTCACAGAATCAACATACCCCCTAAACCAGTGTTTCTCACTGGTACTCCTGGCTAGGGATAACAGTACTTCCTAGTCACTGTGACATTTAAAAATTTTCTCATTCATTTCCAAACATCCTCTGTGAGAGAAAGTAGTGAATATGTCCTCTTCCCCATCCAAATGAGCACCTCATTTGGATGTGTCTAGAGTCTTAGAAGCTTGACTAACCTATGTTCTCCTACAAATGGACCTTGAGAGCTTATTTGGAGGTTCTAGCAGGGAAGTGCAGCTACCAAAGAAGTCCTCCTCTATCGGGGAAGGTTGTCCTCTTCAACTGAGCATGCAGCTTCGGGAAGGATGCACATGGAGCGGTGAGGGAGGAAGGGGACACCCGACTAGCCAGCCAGATCAACTAAATCAACCCTGGCGATCAATGGGGTGACAGATGTCATAGCCAGATCGCCTTCACATCCTAGAATGTTTCTATTCTAAGCTAGACTTGGAAGATTACTTCCCTCTGAGCCACATTTGCAGGGATAGATAATCTTAGTGAAAGAAGCATTTGATCAAACATATCTATGTTTGTGTCATTTAGTATCTAAGGAAGCTCTGCTCATGTTTCTAATCACGGCCATCATTACTAATCGTATATGAATTAGCCCCCCTTTTAAATCTCTTTATATGAACTGAGGATTTGAGGTAGGTCAATGCTTTAAAGAGTTGCCTTTGTGTGACTGTATCTCAGATACCTTGCTATAGAGGAACCTCTGTAGCTCCAGTTCAGCAATTCCTAACTGTCCATCTTCCTCTGTCAGGCGCCACCGTGCCTGAGCGAAGTAAAACTCGGTGCGGCGGACCACACTCACATCTTCTTGCTGCTTTCGCAGCTCCATCTTGTTGGCCCTCTGAAGCTGGAAATCCTTAAAACACCTATAAATGAACAGGACAGCCAAAGCCAATAAGGGAAACATTAAATAGGTTGGGGGTAGGATAGAATGCTCTGGAATGATGCAGATGAACCTACTGTGGGTGAGTAGACTCTTTAAGTACCCCCCCCCCCCCAGCTGGGCTATAGAAACACGTACAACAGGGCTGGGGATGTGGCTCAAGCGGTAGCGTGCTCGCCTGGCATGCGTGGGGCGCTGGGTTTGATCCTCAGCACCACATAAAAATAAAGATGTTGTGTCCACCGAAAACTAACAAATATTAAAAAAAATTTTTTCTCTCTAAAAAAAAAACACGTACAACATTTTTCACCTCTATAGCTTCTTGATAAAAGTGTCTCTTCCCCACTAAAAATCTTTATGATTATTATCTGCAATTGTGTTCCTTACTAATCGACTTCAAGGTATTTTCAATACAGATACATGGTGTCAAGGCCACTTTCTCAATTACTCATTTTCTTGCAGCAGAGCCTTTTCCAATAAGTATGTTACTAAGAACCCATAGGAAGGGTTCTCCTGTTCTTGACCTCTTTGGACAAGTCCAGCAATACTTGTGTCTGAATTTACTTCTATGTCAGCCTTTGATAATGCAATTAGGTATAAAGACTGTCAGAACATGGGCAAGGAGCCAAGTACAATGGCATATGACTATAATTCCAGCTATTTGGGAGGCTGAGATAGGAGCATCAGAAATTTGAAGCCAGACTGGGCAACTTAGGGAGACCCAGTCTCAAAAAATGCTGAGGATATGGCTCAGTGGTAAAGCACTCCTGGGTTCAAACCCCGAATACATAAAAAACAAACAACAACAACCCCCCCGCCACAACAACAACAATAAAAACATGGGCAAGGAAGTGGAAAA